AAGCCATGTCCTCCCCTCCACGAAGAGAAACCCAGAAAGGTTCACAACCCAGAGAGGTTCACAAGCCTTTAAACCCTGTGATTTCACACCACATTACACTCAGCAAAAGGCTTCCCCTCGGAGAGCTCCCAGCAGAGCCCAGCACTGGGGGTTTGAGTAGTGAAACCTTGAAACCTGCTGGCGAGGAGTGGTTTGGGCTGGAGACGACAATGGCAAGTGGTTTTCCACTCCTCTCATCCCCAAAACGAGTAGGGGATGTCCAAAAGGATGTCTGGCTGTGTCTGTTCAGTGGTGCCAGTAACAGGTGGAACGAAACTGGGAGGATGCTGCCTGTCAGCAGCTTGGTTTGACCCAGCACTGAGCAACTTGGGTCCCTGTGGGCTCAGCCTCATTCTGTGCCCCTGAGCACCTGCACACTGATTTCTGAAAATCCTGGGAATGAAACAGCAACAACACTGGAAGAAGGAAATAAATAAGATGGAAGAGTGACATCTATTTTTAGCCATCACTTTTGGCAGGACAAGGGGGAATGGCTTCAAACTGACAGGGAGTAGGGTTAGATGGGCTATTGGGAAGACGTTCTTCTCTGTGAGGGTGGTGAGGCACTGGCAAAGGTTGCCCAGAGCAGCTGTGGCTGCCTTATCCCTGGAAGTGTTCAAGGTCAGGTTGGATGGGGCTTGAAGCAAGCTGGTCTAGTGGAAGGTGTCCCTGCCCATGACAGGGGCTGGATGCAATGAGCTGAGCAGAACACAGTGTCATCTCTGCACCATCAAAACTCAAACTTTATTATTAGAGAAAATACAGTTTGAATCAAAGTTGTAAAAAAACAACCAAACAAAACCACTTGGACATTGGGAATTCAACACACAGACGTTACACATCCATGGGGACTTCCATGCCATCCCCAAAGGCTACTGCATCTCCTCTTCCCTCTGTGCCCTGTACTCCTTCATGCTCTTCTGAAACAAAAGCAAAGAACAAGTGTTAACAGCATGTACCACAGTGCCACCATGCTGGTCTATGCTGGGACTTCTCTGCCTAAAGCCTGGAAAGGCTGGGCAGCTCTGAGAGAGCTCCAGGTGCTTTTGGAAGAGACTGAGCTTTGCAGTCACTCCATGAGGAGGTTGCCAGGCCATGTTGTGGGTCAGGCAGAGGACATGCAGGAAAACTATCACGTTTTGACATCAAAAGTGCCTCCAACACAGGCCTCAGCCCACTCCTCCCCACTCTGAGACCAAGAGATAGAATAGACCTCTGAGCTCTTCAGGAATGGCCTCACCTCAAAGGTGTTGAGCACATGCTGGCAAACATCCATCAAGTCGTTCAGCCCTTTCCGGAACGGCTCTACAGCAGGAAGGGTTCCTTTGGGAGAGCAGATGGGTTAGTGACACGGGAGGTGGCTTCCAAAGGGCTGGTGGTCCTGTCCCTCATTACCTGAGCAGTGTGGCTGTCACACCCATGCCAAGGGCAGTCCTTTACCTTACACCAGGTCTGTGCCCACTTCCCTCCTCCCTGCCCACGACAGAGGCTCAGAGCAGAGGTCAGTGCCTGCTGCCACCAACCCAGGTCCCTGGGGCCAGGAGAGCCTGGGGGCTCCTCATCTGGCTCAGCCCTAGGGCTGGGAAACAGCAGCTGGAGCACAGTGCTGGGAGCAGCCTCCGAGGCTGAGCAACAGGGCACAGCAGCTGCAGTGGCTGCAGAGAGGAGAGGGAAAGGGCCGTTCTTTATTTAAATGAGTCATGGTGGCAGACTGGCATGAGGAGGGGGAATTCCATGAACAAAGGGCCTCAGGAATGAAAGAACAGCACAGTCTTACCCCTGGTCTGGATCCTGAAGTTGATCTTGCTTTCAGAGGGGTGTGTGATGCAGTAGCCACAGAACTCCACGTCAGGGCTGCAGGGGGGAGAGAGCAGTGAAACCCACAGTGTATCTCAGGGAAGTCGGAGACTCAGGGCACCCCAGAGCTGCTGGGATTCAGGATGATTGCATAGCGACTGAGGGTTTTATCAGAGGGATGTGCTGAGGGGAAACTACCTGTGTAACATTATTCACACACACCTATCTGTCACTGGAGCTTTGCAGGGGAAGGACATGGCTGACACCATGTAGGCAACATGTGAGGACATGGACCTGCTGGAATGGGTCCAGAGGAGGCCACAGAGATGATGGGAGGGCTAGAGCAGCTCTGCCCTGGAGCCAGGCTGGGAGAACTGGGGGTGTCCAGCCTGGAGAAGAGAAAGTTCTAGGGAAACCTTAGAGCCCTTTCCAGTGCCTGAAGGAGCTCCAAGAGAGCTGGAGAAGGACTTTGGACAAGGGCCTGGAGGGACAGGACAAGGGAGAATGGCTTCCCATTGCCAGAGGGCAGGATTAGATGGGATATTGGGAAGGAATTATTCCTTGTGAGGGTGGTGAGGCACTGGCACAGGTTGCCCAGAGAAGCTGTGGTTGCCCCATCCCTGGAAGTATTCCAGGCCAGGTTGGACGGGGCTTGGAGCACCCTGGTCTAGTGGAAGGTGTCCCTAGCCACAGCAGTGGGTGGAATAAGATGGGCTTTAAGGTCTTCCCAACCCAAACCGTTCCATGATTCTAACGGGAGCAGCAGGATAATTAATTCCCAGCATCAATTCCTGTACCTCCATGCACCATGAAGGATGATCAATTTGCTTAACACTGGCCTGTTCCTACCCTTTTTCCTGATAGGCTTGTCCCAGAAGGAGACACTCACACTGCCTGGCCACGTGTGCTTCTATGGAGTTGAACAGTCAATGAGTCACAGGCCTTGCTGGCCAGCCCTGTCCCATAGCACACAAGAAAGGGAGTAGGACAGAGGCAAAGGTGGCAGCCAGGGTCAGTCAAGGGTGCAGATGATCAGGCAGGTCAGGCCAGGAGGTCAGTCTGCAGGTCAGGTGAGGGCAATGAGGTCAGACACTGCTCAGCAATCACCTAGTAGGTGTAGGATGATAAGGAAGGGCTGATGCAGGTCAAGAGGTCAGTCCATGTGTCAGCATCCAGGGGAATCATAGACTCATGGAATGGTTTGGATGGAAGGGACCTTAAAGCCCACCTTGATTCAACACCTTTCACTAGCCCAGGATGCTCTAAGCCCTGTCCAACCTGGCCTTGAACACTTGTAGGGATGGGAAGTCCACAACCTCTCTGAGCCACTCATGGAGTCCATGGCCCAGCACAGCTGAGCTCAGTTACTTCTCCAACAACTCAGGAGGGACTGAAATCCCTGAGCTGAGCTTAACGGCGTCTCCTGGGCAGGGTGTGGTAGAGGCCCAGGGGAAGCTGGTCAGACCCAACAAGGCCTATTAGTGCTCTCAGGATCCTGACACAACAGAAGGCAAAGGTTAACCCTGTGAGGAGGCAGTAAGGAGAAGCACAGCACCGTTCCTGATAGAAAGGCTCTAACAGGTGTGCACAGAGGGGATTTGGGATCATTTGCCTTGTTCCAGCAACAACTAAGGTGTAGATCAGTAAGGAGACGGCCAAAGCAGGGGATAGAGGTTGCCTCAGCCATGTCAGGCACCACAGAGGCTCCACTTACTTCTTCATGACCATGTAGCGAAGGGAGTTGCCCAGGGTGTGATCCTCGTCGTGCAGCACGAACGTGACACAGTTCCCATCCGTCCCATCCGCCTGGATCTGTCACAGATGGGAGAGAGAAACTGTGAGGCTCCCTGAGGTCAGGAATGCGGGAGAAGAATCAGCTCCTGCACTCAGTTTCCCCAAAGGAACTGGGAGGGTTGTAGGTCTGGCTGAGCCATATCTGTGGCTCACGGCCCTGATGCTGCTGTGGGACCAAAACACCTTCACAGAGGAGGGAAAGCTCCAAAGTCACACCTCTCCCTCTTACCACAGTGCCTGTGAACCCTTCACCTGCACAGGAGAGAGAAGGAGCCCAAAGAAAGCTGCAGCTTCAGGTTCCATGATGGAAAGGAGCTGGGAGTCATTACTCAGGGTAGTGATCCCAGGTCCTGCTACCACCCTGTGGAATGAGAGGGACAGGTAAAAATCCCCAGGGAGGAATGCTGCCTCTCAGCAGGGAGATCTGATCCCAGCTCCAAAACAAAACCAGCAGCACCCCAGTAAATTGAAGCTGTCCCTAACTCCCCAGCACAGCGTAAGCACCAAGAGCAGTGAACACATTGTGATGAACCTGTCTGCTTCACATGCAGGTTCTCACTCCTCTTTCCTGTGGAGAGTGACAGAATCACGGAGGTTGGAAAAGATCTCCAAGACCATCAAGTCCAACCTGTGATCCATCACCACTTTGTCAACTAGACCAGTGCGCTAAGTCCCATGTCCAGCCATTTCTTGAACACCACCAGGGATGGTGACTCCATCACCTCCCTGGGCAGCCCCTTCCAATGCCTGACAGCCCTTTCTGTGAAGAAATACTTCCTGAAGTCCAACCAGAACTTCCACTGGCACAGCTTAAGGTTGTCTCTTCTTGTCCTGTCCGTAGCTGCCTGGAAGAAGTCCTCAGGTACAACTATTGATCAGAGCGGGACGACGAGTTTTGCTGCTTCTCATCAAGCCCCTGGTCCACCCAGTCAGGTATCTTACCTCTGGCACTGCTGCTGTCCAATGCTTCCAAGGAAAACTGACACATTCCCTGAAGGACAGATTCCTCCCTGTCCCTGCAGCAATCGTGTCTGTGCCCAGAGGCAGAAGCCTTGATTTTAGATTTTAGGAAGCAATTCTTCCCTGTGAGGGTGGTGAAGCACTGGCACAGGTTGCCCAGAGAAGCTGTGGCTGCCCCATCCCTGGAAGTGTTCCAGACTAGATTGGATGGGGTTTGGAGCAACCTGGTGTAGTGGAAGGTATCTCTGCCCATGGCAGGGATTGGAAAGAGATGAATTTTAAGGTCCTTCCCAACCCAAACCAGCCTGGGATTCTATGATTTCTCAGGGTGTTTCCAAGTCTTATCTAGGAGGTGTCCAGGTATCAAACCACTCATCACAAGAAAACTTGTTCTCCTGCAAGACAACCTGTAAAATCAGCCCTGATGGAGTAGGGAGTTCTGCTTGCCTGGAGTTGTAGTGCATTGGTTACACCCCAATTTGCTGGTGTCTGCACCAAACTGTCCTTGCGTTATGGTAGAGGAAAAGCTAATGAGAACTTGATCAAATTCACTTGAGTCCCTCAGAGACAACAGGGATGGAAAAGGGAGCAGGTCCCCTGGACAATCCAGGGTTCACCCCAAGCCAGGTCAGGCCATGGCCCCTGTGCCCTGGCTGCCTTCCCCTCCCCAGCCCCACTAGCCTCAGAGCCATGACCTGGCACTCTGCAGCAGCTCTCCTGCTCACAGGGCTCTCATTTATGCTGCAGAATTATTTCCTGTGGTGTGGGGCCTCAGCAGTGCTGTGGGGGAGGCATTAGTGATGAGAGATGGGTCAGCCAGACAGGAAGCAGGTGGGGAACAGTCCCACAACTCACCTGTTCCTGCATCTGCTGCAGTTTAGGCATAACTTGTCCTTTGTGTCAGAATAAATAGTCCTTTCCAGGTCTTCATGAGCCACTACGGCTTTCTATATCTCCTGTTTCTGTATGGTCCTGCCTTCCTGATGGAGGAATCATGGAATGGTTTGGATTGGAAAGGACATTAAAGCCCATCCAGTTCCAGCCAGACACTTTCCACTAGAAGAGGTTGCCCCAAGCCCTGTCCAGCCTGGCCTTGAACACTTCCAGGGATGGGGCAGCCACAGCTTCTCTGGGCAACCTGTGCCAGTGCCTCAGCACCCTCACAGGGAAGAATTATTCCCAATAGCCAAGCTGCTGGCCTGGTGCCACAGCCTCTGCAGGAACTGAAGCTCTTCAAAGATCAATTTCCTCTGTCACATCAGACTCACAGGATTGGGATTTGGCTTCCTGGTGCAATTGTGGCTTTTACCCTGTGACCTGCACAACTGGCAACAAAAATGTGGATCTACAGAGCCTGGAAAAGGGGAACCCTCAGAAGCCAAACTAGTGCTCCAAGATCCTGGGGTCACTTAGGAAAAGTTCAGGGGCTGTAGATTGAAACACTACGGAAAACTGTTCATTTAAGCCTTCCCCATGGGCAGCTTTTAGAATCAGGCACCTCAGAGGGCTCACCTGTCTCTGCTGGTGCTCAGCTCTCCTGCTATCCTGCTGACAGACATGGAGCCCATGGTGTCCCCGTGCCAGCTCTCCCCGACACAGTCACTCTTGGTGACTCTGCAGCCTCTCAGCCTGTCGTGCACTGCCATCTAGTGCCTTCTACTGCTGGTCACGGCGCTGGGAAAGGGTCCTAAAAAAACCTGCCACGGGGCTCAGCCACCTGCAACAGGTGACACAGACCAGACAGACAATGCTGCCACTATCAGCCAGAGCCACCCCAGGCCTGGTGTCACACACTGCTGAGCGATTCACCTTTAAAACTCACCTTGCTCTAGAAACCTTCCTGAAAAACACCTTGCTTTAATCTTGACTAGTTTTAAAAGAGGTTAGACCTGGCCTAAACCTGCTTCTGTTCCCCACAGGGCAACCTCAAACACCTGTAGGTCATTAAACTCAGCCCAAAGGTGTGTTCCTCGCTGCCCCTCCTGTCCCAGGTACCACCGCTCGCTCCCCTCTGCCTCTCTCCCTGCTGACCACAGACACCGTAACGGAGCAGCTGCTTCATGCCAGGAAAACCTGGCAGTGCCACGGGCTGGACAAGGCTGGGGGGGCTGGGAGGTCTCTGGGGGTGACACCTGAGAGGGTTTAGACGCAGGTATAGAGGGAAGGACTGTAAGGCAGGTGGGGTGGAGCATGGGGATGATTCACACAGGGATCTGCACTGTTCCCCACCACCGGGACACAGCGCCAGCCCCGGGATGTCGCCTGGGGTGACCTGCGGAGATGGCTGTCCTGTCCCCTGGAGCTATCCTTACTGTCGCGATCTGTCCTGACACTGATGCCACCACACCCCACGTCAGGGTGCTCTCCCACTGGTGCTTAGGAATCACAGAATCATGGAATCAATCAGCTTGGAAAAGCTCTCCAAGACTGTCGAGCCCAACCATTCCCCCAGCACTGCCAAGACCACCACTAACCATGTCCCCAAGTGCCACATCCAAGTTCAGCTTCCCCTCTGACTGCACAGCTCACTCCAGGTTCCTCCACTGCATCCCTATGGAAACACATCGCTGATAAAATGACTCCAGTTTCTCCCTCAGGACCCTCCTCCTTCCTGGAAGCAGCATAAGAGGGTTTGGAGGTGGGTGAAGACACAGAACATGACAGCGATTGAACCAGCAGCTCCCTAAAGGTAACAGGTACACCCTAAAGCATGGAATCATGAAATTGTTAAACTGGGAAAAGCCCTCTGAGATCATCAAGCCCAACCATTCCCCCAGGAAAACCACCACTAATCACGCCCCTAAGTGCTTACATCCACACGGCTGTTAAATCCCTCCAGGGATGGTGGTGACTCCACCACTACCCTGGGCACCCTGTGCCAGTGCTGAACAACCTTCCCAGGGAAGGAACCTTCCCAACATCCAACCTAAACCTCCCCTGCCGCAACTTGCAGCCCCTACCGCTGCTCCCAGCCAGCAAAGCCTAACCCACTTCCAACTGCAGAGAACACAAAACCTCGCTCAGCCCCTTTTCCCTTCGCACCTCCCTATTATCCCGCACACCCCGTGGTGACTCCAAACCCGCGTCTCTTTCTCACCGTCTCCAGCACTGCCCTGCGCTCT